AAATAAAACGCCGACGTGAGAAGGGACTCTGTTTCAAGTGCGACGAGAAATTTACGTCTGGCCATCATTGCAAGCAGGCTTTTTTCATCCACGTCATCGATGATGAAGAGCCTGAGATCGAGGAGGATTGGGAGCAAGAAGTCGAGATTGGGGTTCCCGAAGAGGAGGCCGAAATCTCGATGCATGCGATGGCTGGTACAAGAGGACCGACGACGATGCGGCTGCCGGCATTGGTCAAGGATCGTCGTGTAGTCGTGCTAGTAGACAACGGATCGTCGCACAACTTCATCAACACCGATCTATCTCGAAAGTTGAAGTTGCCAACAACGAAGGTCGAACCATTTGAGGTCTGAGTAGCCAATGGAGATTAGCTAAAGTGCTCGGAGGCTTACCGTGCGATACCGATTAAATTTCAAGGAGTCACCATCAAAGCCGATCTCTATGCGCTACCCTTGGTGGGACCCGACGTTGTGTTAGGAGTACAATGGCTCGAAGGTTTAGGAAAGGTGACGACCGACTACCGAACCGGGGTCATGGAGTTCAACTCAGGGGAGCACCGGGTTACGTTAAAGGCAAGCAAGGACTGCGGGATCAAGGAGGTTGGTCTCACGAGTATAGAGCAGGTTCGGCATGTGGGCGGCCAGATCTTCACCGTCGAGGAGGCAAGCGCACACGCAGGCACGGTCGAGTACAAGGAACCCCCTCTGTTTTACGAATACTTCGGAGAGGTCGAGCAAGTCTCGACGGATTATGATGGCTTGCCTATCTTCGACGTATACCCCGAAGATGAACTCATGGACGTCGAAGGAATTGAAGAAGTCGAGGTCGAGGAAACTAGGGTCGAAGGCGAGGTGCAAAAGGCTTGGACGATCGAGCGGCAGCAATACGAGATACGTGAGTTGGGTAGAGCAACCGACCGCGAACTAAGCAAGTCCGACAAAGAAGAAGGCATGATCGACGAAAAGTGTAAGGAGCCTATTATTCCGTTTGAATTCTCGAAATATTTTAAGAACTCAATGGCCATGAAGGACGAGTGCGAGTCGACGGACTATGAAGGACCACCTATTTTTGATGTATACCCCGATGAACACTTTGTCGAGGTCGAAAGAATTTTTGTCGAGTACAAGGAAGCCAAAGTGATCGGAGTAAAGGATGAGATTTGGGACGTGAT